ATTAAATAAGGGACAAGATGCCCTTGAAGAGGTCAAAGAGCTAATAGAAAAATTAATGAGTTCTAGAGTAATTACTACTGTGAGAATCAGCTCTAAAGAATCTAGCCACATGGCAAAGAAAAGGTCCCAACAAGAGCTAAAAGAAAATTTTGAACAAGGTAATCCTTCAGTAGGATTACTTAAAGAAAGTTTAGAAAAGTTTGACTATTATGTCAAATACTCTCGCTCAAAAATATCTATGTCATAAGCTGAAAAGCCAGTTATTCAAAATGCCGAAAGCCATAACTTTTGATTGATCACTCAGGAAAGAAAGAAAAGAAAGTTACAATAATAGACACCTTGTAAAAAATAACAATGATTGAAGACTATCTGCAGGAATACCATAGAGTTTGTAAAATGGCATATTTAATGAGGTCCATTGAGAATTGCCATCTTATCTATGAAGGGATTTATTCCAGAATTAATTTCATGTAGAGTGCAAACCCAAAAGCAATAAAAGAATTATTCAATTACGATTTTGTAAACTATATTTATCTCTCAAAGGATAATGAAAAAGTTTCAGAACTTCCAAAAGTTATATGCCAAGGAGTGAAAGACTTCAAAACTGGCACCAAAGTTCAAGGGGTAGTATTTGTCAAAATCTACTCTACAGCATCAAAATGGGAGAAATCTTAATATTTCCCTAGTCATCATATAGTTCAAATTGGAATCCAGTCCAAGAAAATCAAGGTAAAAGCGAATGAAGATCAAAATTTTCAAGACTTTGAAGAGTCTCTTTGTGGGTTTGAGTTCATCCAAGAGAGACAAGCTTTAGGATTCAAGGTTTTACTCCAGACCTTTGATAAAATGATAGAAATGAGGAAGATATGGACATATGGCTTCTCCAAAGAAATCTCAATAGTATCCACTGGCGCAAGATTAATAGCAAGCATCAGCTTGTTCAAAATAAAGCAGAAAAGAAAGGAAATCTTTGAAAATCTGGTCCCAGCTAGTAAAGCAGTCCATAGTAGACTATGCAAGCTATTAAAGCATGATAGCCATTGTGGTTTCTGCTACAAAAAAGAATCTACAAAAAGAAAAGCTAAAGCCCCATGTGACAGAGAGACCACTCCCTTAGACAATGAAGAGGATCTCATCATCCTCTGAAGAATCCAATGCAAAAAGACGTAAGCTCTTACGCCATTGAAGAAAAGAAGAGTGTCTGCCGGATTCCATGTAATCTGCTTTAGTAAAAGCAAGAAGCAAGTCTAGATCACCAGATAATAATGTAAACTTTAGTCGTTAGCAATAATGAAAGAAAAGATTATAAGGAGCGTTATTAAAAGCCTCATATAAGCTGTTACAAGTATCAAGCATTTGAATATCCAAATACCTTACCTAAAAGCCTTCTACCATGCATCTATAAACACCCTTCAAGAGAAAAAGGAACTTTCCCTTTCTTTTCTTAGAAATAAAATCATGTTTTAGAATAATTCTTGTGTTCTTATCCTTCTTTATTTCTATCATAAAATAAAATGAGAAGAATCCAAAAGAAATTAAGGCAACAGTGAAGTCACTTGTCTTGCCTAGATACCCTTTATAATCTGAGTTTGGGATTAAGGGTTGGACAAAAGAAGCATTTGCTTGACTAAAGGCTAGTCCAAAGGATTTTCAAGTAAAATTCTAACTCATTTATTTTATCATGCCGAAGCAAGATGGATATAGAAACAACTTTATTATTCTTTAACATTAGATTATTTTTGAGATAAGAAATGATGAAGGAAATAGTACCTGATCTCTTATATTTCAAATAGAATTCCATTTTATATTAAACCATTATAGTTTAAGATGTTTGATTTTATTCAAGAAATTGTTGTAGATAAGATAGTTTATGAGCAGCAATGCGAATATTATAAAAATAAAATAGTAAAAATTTTAGAAAAAATAAGTAATATGGAAGATGATTATCATCTTTCTAAGAATCTCATAAAATTGAAGCAAACATTTGCATATTTAAATGAAGATATAAAAAGATTAAAAAAGGCCAAGCAAAGATTATCTTTATTAGCAGTCTAATAGATCTAATTCTACGCTTATTGAGCTTAACATACTAGCTATTCATTAGTCAGTAATAGTCTGAGTTAAGTTTTGAAAACTCGTCAAAAAATCAGGTATCAAAGCCAAGAAACAATAATTTTAAGTATAAAAGTTGTTTTCATAGCAAATATAAATTTGAGGATTAAAAGATCAAAATAAATATAGTTAGAGGATTAACTATTCTCTAATAGAATAAAAGATTTCCGTCAAAGATAACATATTAGATGAAATTGAAATGAATCTGAAAGATAGTAGACAGGATTGGAAGAATCCAAAGATAATAGACGAAATTGAAAAAAATATGAAAGTTAGTAGATGATTTGTTAAACTAAGCCTCTCATTTTAGAATTGAGTGCAAGACCTTGATTCACGTGTCACAGATTTTTTTTTAAGTGTTTTTTTTTTTTTTCCATTCGGTTATCTCGTTTAAGTTCCTTCAAAATTTTAACTTTGATGCTGTGTGCTGCAATTGTTGGCATTTTTTTTTTTAAATATATAGGACATGAAAAGTTTTGAAATATATCTTTTCTCGAAGATATTTTTTAAATATTATATTTTAATTAATACTTTAAAATTTAATTATTAACTTAAAAATCATACTTATAAAAATTATGTATGTTAAAATTAAAATTAATTAAATAAATTTAATAAAGTTATTGATTATACAAAATTTAATACCTTTAAATATAAAAATAAAAAGTACTAGAGGACCAACCCCTTGCAAGACAACGCAAGCCAGCCTCCGTAGCACCACCAATAGGCTTTTTTTCTTCCATTTTTTTCTTTTTAAGTTAAATTTATTATTTAGTCCATCATTTTAACAATTCAAACTTAATTTTGTTCTCTTATTCATTTTTAAAGTTAAAATTAATTTAAACTTACATTGTTAGAGTTTAAAATATTTAAATTTTAAAGTTTAAGATATTAGGGTTTATATTTTTTATGGTTTAGTTTTTGGTATTAACCTTTTGGTATTCAGTAACTAAATTAGTTCCTGATTAATCGGGAATCGAGCCACGTCAGACCCATAAGAGGATAAGCTCTCCCAACACCTATTTTTCCATTCACAAGACACAAACTCGAAATCTTACTTAAGGAGAACAAAACTCTTTCTATTCGAACCAACAAGTCGTTGGTTTTTTATGGTTTAGTGTTTAGATTAATTTTATGGAGTGTTTAATTTGGTAGGGTTCAGATTTTTTAGATTTAGTATTTTATAGTTTTAGGATTAGATTTCTTAAGATTTAGTGTTTAATGTATTTGGGTTTAAATTTTTAAAATTTAAGATTTAAGATTTAACATTTAAAAGATTTAAGTATTTAATAATTTAAATAATTTAAAATTAAAAATTATAAGACTTTAAAATAAAACATAAAATATTAAATTTAAAAAGTAAAAATAAAAAGTAACAAGGACCAATCAGCCTTGGAATTGATCGGTTCGTGTAGCATTACTCTTAAATATATATTAGTAACTAGAATTTTTTTTTATCAAAATGTGTTTACACCTTAAATTGCAAAATTTATGTCGTGTGTCAACTATTTTTTGAATGGATGGATAAGATTATGCCATGTTAGATTTGATATTTGAGACCTCTAACAAATCAAATGCCACACAGAGGATGGAATTCGAATAGACGAGGATGATCCATTTAATTACTTTTGTGAATTGGGGTGGCCTGTTTCAGCAATTATTTAGGAGAAGTTTCAATTGAAATTATGAGCTAGCAAGTAACAAGGATAGGTGGCAAAATCTGGGCAGAGATTTGACCTATTCCATGTTGAGGTGTCTACCTTCTTCAAGAAACTACCCACATTTATGTAACCACCAAGTAGTGGGGAGTTGCAAGCCCGGAGGAGACAAACAAAAGAAAAATTTTTAGACATTCAACACATGACTAGTCTTACTCACAACCCAAAACTAGCTTCTGCACTCATAGATCTTGTTAGTGATTGCTCACTTTAATTTACAGATTTCGATTTTTAACATAGATCCCTAATGGATTTAGGTTGTTTTCTTCTTTCAAATAGCCAAATTAGTTTGTATAATTACCTCTACAATTTCCTTTTGTGTAATAAACACAAGTTTTCAATTTCTATAAGGTATTATTCCTTTTTTGACTAGTTTTAATTAATGTTTATAATAAGTAGTGTTTCTCCAATTGATTACTTGTATAGTGTTCACACTTCTTTTTGGTTTTTGGCATGTTAGTTTAATTTCTATTCGTATTAGTTTTATGATCATTTAGGGTTAAATTTCTAGTTTTGCAGTAGTTTAATTTTCAATTCTATCTGTAGATTATAGTTTAATTTGGCAATGAACATGCTTAATTTAATTGGGATGTAGCTTTCAATTACAAGTTTACCTTGATTTGTACTTCATTTAGTTTCTTTACAATTTATTAACTTTAATTCACAATAGTGTTTAACTCCTTGGAGTTTATTTAATAACCTATTCTATAAGAAGGCATCTCTCCCTCGTGCAAATTGTTTGAAGGCATAGATTACAACTTTAAATCAACATTCTTCTAGCCACTCATAAGGAGGTTGACTGTGAGAAAGGAGAGGATCATTGAGAAAATACTCTTGATTTTGCTTTAAAAAAAGTAAGTAGCATGCCTCATATCCAGACCTATTGTGTGTAGTGCCACTTTCGGATTTTTGAGAAAATAAAATGTTATAAATGTTAGATCAATCTTATTGTAATATCCCAAAATTTTGTGGTATTTTGCATAAAGTTAGGGACTTATCTGGGGGAAAATATTATTGAGGGGCTTAATAGCAAAATTTTTAAAAGTTGAGGGACTTAAAAGATGAAAGAAATTAGGATAAGGATGGCTGAGTTTTTCTTTCTTTCTTCTTCCTTATCCGCGCATCCTGCTCTTTTTTCTTCTCCTCTACCAACCAAAGCTCCCCTAAGCCACCGACTCATCCCCTTTGAGAAAAATTGATGACAAAGCTTGAAATTTCTTCTTCTTTTCTTGTTAAATAACAATATTTGGGGCTTAGAACTCTCATTAAACCCAGAATTTTCCCAGATCTACTCAGTGTCTCTTCCTCCCCTGTCCGTCGGGTTCTGCTGGGTGTGAACCTTCGGCTTTTCTGGTAAGCCACAACCAAGAAATCATCTCCTTAGCCTTGATTTAACTTGGGTTACTCTAATTTTGGTTGTGGTTCTTGAATTTTGGGTAGTTTCCTTGAGTTTCCCTGCAGATGGCGCCGACTTCTTCTCCCTGCCAGCTCTGGTTTGCTTGCTGGAATTCTGGTAAGTGGCAGCCCCATTAAGTCCGAAATTACCCATTTAATTGTTGGGTTTTGTCCATTAAGTGCTGCCCTGTGCTTGCCCGAATTTTGCTAAAATGGGGGAGGAATTTCGGGAGCATTTAGCAGCATTTTAAAGGCCAAAGCCCCTATTTGCACCCTCCATTTATTTGTTTTCCGTGGTCAACACCTTCTAAAATTTTTCTTCCCTATTAACACCCTCCATTTTTCAAAACCCGTAAAAAACCCAATATTTTAACGGGCCGTCACGGCACCGTTAATAACCGTTAAAAATGATAATACGTGGCATTAAACAGTAACATAATCCAACGTGAACTTTTTTTTGATGATATGGCATAATTAATCCATAATTAATTTTAATTTTTTCATTTTCTTCTTTCCCGCATCATCTTTACCATCTTCCTCTTCATCCTCCTGAGTTTCTCATGGAACCAGAAATCCAGAACTTTATGTCACATTTATTAATACAATGTTGGACTTTTTTTATATGTGTTATAATCAAATTATCACTAATTTTAATTTCTTCATTTTCTTCTTTCTCAGCATCATCTTCACTAGCATCATCTTCACCATCCTCGTCCTCATCCCCCTCAGAAACAATCTCCAAGCAAAAAAACTCACATTTCCAACAAAAAAATTATTCCAAATTGCTTTGCATAAAATCGAAGCTAAGATAAATACATTTAAAATAAAAAAATCAAAAAAAAAAAAGTTGGAACTGGGTTCCTCGCGCAGGAGCCCAGAACTGGGTTCCGCGCAGGAACCCGAACTGGGTTCCTCGCGGGGAACCCAGATCTGGGTTCCCGCGCAGGAACCCAGTTTCTGGGTTCCTCGCGTGGAACCCAGTTCGGGTTCCTGCGCGAGGAACCCAGAACTGGGTTCCCCGCGAGGATGGTGAAGATGATGCCGAGGATGAGGGGAGAAAGAAAAAAAAAATGCCATTTATGTAATTGTTTGGTAATATTATAATTTTTTATTATTTTTATTGTATACGTGGCACCCATGTTGGATTATTAACGTTATGTAGTGCCACGTCAATTTTTGGGTGCCACGTAACATATTTTTTAACGGTGCCGTGACGGCCCGTTAAAATATTGGGTTTTTTACGGGTTTTGAAAAATAGAGGGTGTTAATAGGGAAGAAAAATTTTAGAAGGTGTTGACCACGAAAAACAAATAAATGGAGGGTGCAAATAGGGGCTTTGGCCCATTTTAAATGTGTTTTTGTGCTTGGTTTATGTAGGAATTTTGTTAATTAGGCTGTTGTGATGTTTTGGAGAGAAAATCCCGTGTGTGTGCGTTGTGGTTTGCCAAAGCCATGCTCTCCTGCCCGTGAGAAATGGGGAAATTTTGGTAGCTTAAGCTATGTTTTTTTTAGCTTGATTTAAGTGTAAATTAGCTTGAATTGGGTTGTTGTGATTTTGGAAAAAAATCCCGTGAGATTAGTTATTGTTTTGCCAATTTTTGGAAGATAAGTACTGTTTACGGGTACTGTTCACGGGTGCTGTTTACAGTACTGTTTACGGGTACTGTTCATGCGCTAATGGCCACCAATTACCGGGGATTTAAATGTTTAGTTTGTAATATAAGAACAAATTTGAAGATGTCTGGTCATGTGGAGACTGATAGAAATAGCACCGTGATTATGGGTAGTGTTAATGATGATTTCACTTTGAAATTGTGGTAGTGCGGTATTAACTTTGGAATATTGTGATTAGGTTTGATCGTTCTGTCACCGTAGCACTTGGGTTAAGCCTTTTGTTTTGTGCGAGTGAGGTAAGTAAATTATGGTAAAGCCCTTCGATTTTAAAGCATGTTTTAAATTGTTTTTGAGATGGTGGCAAGATTTAAATTGATTTTATCAGCATCTGAGTGTGATTAAACTGAAATGAAAATTGTGATGATTTTTATGAAAATTATTATTTTCTGGAATTGAGCAAGATTGGAATGAAAATGAGAATTTCATTGTTTTTTTTGAAGTAGAGCATGCCTAATTGGAACTTACTGAACTTATTTAAGAATTTTTGTAAATTATGATTTTTTGTTAAATCCATGCCCACATGGAATTTTCTGGTTATTTCTAAAATTTGGAATTTCCATTGTGAATTACGGATCTCTTTTGTAAATCCTGCATGGTTTTGTCTCTGATATGGTCATGTATTACTGTGCTCGCTAGTGGGAGGTTTATAAATCCTAGCACATATCGACATGTTTACTGATATGACCGGTTCATTCTATAATCCAGCCAATGGGATGATACATTAGTAATTACTAATGCCTGCCAGTGGGAGTTTGTTAAACACTAGTACCATTACTAACGCCTGCCAGTGGGAGTTTGTTAAACACTGGTACTTCTGTAACCCTGCTAATGTGGTTAAACATTGGTTATTACTGACGCCTGCCAGTGGGAGTTGTTAAACACTGGTACTACTACTGTGCCCGCCAGTGGGAGGTTTACAAACGCTGGCCATGACCTATAGATGAGACTACTACTGAATTTGATTTTGCATTAACTGTTTATCATTGAAAGTTTTGTTATGTTAAACTATTTATCAAGCATGCTAAAAATTTTACCCAAGGGCTATCCATATTTACTTACTAAGTTATCTCATAGTTTTTCCTTATCCACCATTTCAAGAAGTGAAACCGAGGATGGGGAAATCACGGGGAGTGACGGGGTAGAAGGCTAGCCATTCTTATTGGATATAAGTTTTAGATTTTATCATCCTTTTGTAAGGTAGATTTTATTCTTGAGATGTTGTGATTTGAATTAGTTCCGAGCCTTGTGCACTTGTGGGACTCGTCTCACGAGTGCACGGCGTCTGCCACGTCCCCGGATTTGGATTCTGAGGCGTGACAGATTAAGTGGTATCAAAGCTTAGGTTTGATTAAGATTTTGTGATGTCAAAGCCTAGGTTTAAGTAAATACCTAGGATCTATTTTGAACCTGGCTAGCTAATGGATTTAGAACCGTGGTGAGACGAGTGATAGGGTTATACAAGAGACGATTCTGATTTGTGTTGCTTGAATTTTTGGATTCATTTTGCTGAGATAGCAATTCAGTTAGTACTTGTTACCTACCGATAGTGAGAAGTTTTGAAATTAATCTTGCTCACCATGCTCTTAGGACCTTGTTTGAAGCTTGGTCCCTTGTGATAGTATGCTTGATTTTGGTTGTGGCAGAATGTATAAGGCCTTCCACATTAGGTCTGTTTGTTTAAGTATTCATCTAGGCATTCATATAGGAATGCAAACATAAATATACATGAGCATATACACGTATACATGCATGCACACATGGGCATTCATACATGCATGCATAAAGGCATTCATTCATACATGCATATACATGTATTCATCCGTTCATGATTCTATATATCCGAGGGATGTTTATCCGTCTTGGATAGGGTTCCACCTTTTAGTTGTACTCATCATTAGTTGTGCTCATCATTAGATTCCTTGCCATGTTGTGTTTGATGAGTGTCGAGTCTTGATTTGAATCAAGGGCACCGTATAATCACGCCAATAACCTTCGAGTTTAATTACTTGTGTTGAGGCATGAAGTTATCTCCCGCTTCCCAAATGGCCATTGGAGAGGGTGGAGATTGAGAATTGTTGTTGGCTTGTTAAGGTAGTGATGAGTACCTAGTCCTTGTAAAGTGAATCTGACTATGGTACCTTTGTAATTGTTAGCCATGTATTATGAGACTGATTTCCTTGTTATTGTTGTGGTTTGATATCAGAGTGGCGCAGCAGAAGCGTAGTAGGCCATATTCTGATCATAGAAAGTCGGTGGGGCATCTGTTTTGTCTTGGATTGTGTGAAACCATTCACCCGTCTAAATGATCCCCAATTTGAGTTTTGGAGACAAAACTCCTTTTTAGGAGGAGTGAATGTAATATCCCAAAATTTTGTGGTATTTTGCGTAAAGTTAGGGACTTATCTGGGGAAAAATATTATTGAGGGGCTTAATAGTAAAATTTTTAAAAGTTGAGGGACTTAAAAGATGAAATAAATTAGGATAAGGATGGCTGAGTTTTTCTTTCTTTCTTCTTCCTTATTCGCGTGTCTTGCTCTTTTTTCTTCTCCTCTACCGACCGAAGCTCCCCTAAGCCACTGACTCATCCCCTTTGAGAAAAATTGATGACAAATCTTGAAATTTCTTCTTCTTTTCTTGTTAAATAACAATATTTGGGGCTTAGAACTCTCATTAAACCCAGAATTTTCCCAGATCTACTCAGTGTCTCTTCCTCCCCTGTCCGTCGGGTTCTGCTGGGTGTGAACCTTCGGCTTTTCTGGTAAGCCACAACCAAGAAATCATCTCCTTAGCCTTGATTTAACTTGGGTTACTCTAATTTTGGTTGTGGTTCTTGAATTTTGGGTAGCTTCCTTAATTTTGGGTAGTTTCCGTGAGTTTCCCTGCAGATGGCGCCGACTTCTTCTCCCTGCCAGCTCTGGTTTGCTTGCTGGAATTTTGGTAAGTGGTAGCCCCATTAAGTCCAAAATTACCCATTTAATTGTTGGGTTTTGTCCATTAAGTGTTGCCCTGTGCTTGCCCGAATTTTGCTAAAATGGGGGAGGAATTTTGGTAGCATTTAGTAGCATTTTAAATGTGTTTTTGTGCTTGGTTTATGTAGGAATTTTGTTAATTAGGCTGTTGTGATGTTTTGGAGAGAAAATCCTGTGTGTGTGAGTTGTTGTTTGCCAAAGCCATGCTCTCCTGCCTGTGAGAAATCGGGAAATTTTGGTAGCTTAAGCTATGTTTTTTTTAGCTTGGTTTAAGTGTAAATTAGCTTGAATTGGGTTGTTGTGATTTTGGAGAAAAATCCCGTGAGATTAGTTATTGTTTTGCCAATTTTTGGAAGATAAGTTATTGTTTACGGGTTCACGAGCACTGTTCACGGGCACTGTTCACGGGCACTGTTCACGGGCACTGTTCACACACTGATGGCCACCAATTAACGGGGATTTAAATGTTTAGTTTGTAATATAAGAACAAATTTGGAGATGTCTGGTCATGTGGAGACTGATAGAAATAGTACCGTGATTAGGGGTAGTGCTAATGATGATTTCACTTTGAAATTGTGGTTGTGCGGTATTAACTTTGGAATATTGTGATTAGGTTTGATCGTTCTGTCACTGTAGCACTTGGGTTAAGCCTTCTGTTTTGTGCGAGTGAGGTAAGTAAATTATGGTAAAGCCCTTCGATTTTAAAGCATGTTTTAAATTGTTTTTGAGATGGTGGTAAGGTTTAAATTGATTTTATCAGCATCTGAATGTGATTAAACTGAAATCAAAATTGTGATGATTTTTATGAAAATTATTATTTTCTGGAATTGAGCAAGATTGGAATGAAAATGAGAATTTCTTTGTTTTTTTGAAGTAGAGCATGCCTAATTGGAACTTACTGAACTGCTTTGATGATTTAAAAATTTTTGTAAATTATGATTTTCTGTTAAATCCATGCCCACATGGAATTTTCTGGTTATTTCTGAAATTTGGGATTTCGATTGTGAATTACGGATTTCAATTGTGAATTATGGATCTCTTTTGTAAATCCTGCATGGTTTTGTCTCTGATATGGTCATGTATTATTGTGCCTGCTAGTGGGAGGTTTATAAACGCCAGCACATGTCGACATGTTTACTGATATGACCGGTTCATTCTGTAATCCTGCCAATGGGATGATACATTGGTAATTACTGACGCCTGTTAGTGGGAGTTTGTTAAACACTGGTACTTCTGTAACCTTGCCAATGGGGTTAAACATTAGTTATTACTGACGCCTGCCAGTGGGAGTTGTTAAACACTGGTACTACTACTGTGCCCGCCAGTGGGAGGTTTATAAACACTGGCCATGACCTATAGATGAGACTATTATTGAATTTGATTCTACATTAACGGTTTATCATTGAACGTTTTGTTATGTTAAACTGTTTATTAGGCATGCTAAAAATTTTACCCAAGAGCTATCCATATTTACTTATTGAGTTATCTCATAGTTTTTCCTTATCCACCATTTCAGGAAGCGAAACCGAGGACGAGGAAATCACGGGGAGTGATGAGGTAGAAGGCTAGCCATTCTTATTGGATATAAGTTTTAGATTTTATCATCCTTTTGTAAGGTAGATTTTATTCTTGAGATGTTGTGATTTGAATAAGTTCCGAGCCTTGTGCACTTGTGGGACTCATCTCATGAGTGCACGACGTTTGCCACATCCCCGGATTTGGGTTCTGGGGCGTGACACTTATAATAAACATGCATAATTTATATGAATATAACTTTCAATTCACTAGTTAGTTTTTGAAAATATTAATTTAAATGTGAGTTTTTAGGTAAGATTGAAACTAACCATTGGCTTACCAACTTTTTATACCAAAATTTGAGTTCTTAAAAACTTAGGTTTTTGTTGTTAGCAATGATTAGTCTCATACTTAGATGCGACTCACAATTATAATCTTCTCCCAATGTCATATTCAAGCATTACAATCTCCCCCACTTAAACACTTGATGTTCTTGTCCAGGTCGCTCAAGTCTAATGCAAATAGACCCACAATCACAAGATCCACCTAATTGATGTGAGATTTCAGAGGTTAAAGCCTAATCATCCCACAATTGTCTACTCCAACCCTTTACCGGACCATGGGGACTTCTCCAATGCCTTGTGTTAAATTTTCCTGACATGGCTTTAACCCTATGAAAGGGAACTGCTCTAATGCCAACTAAAATAACTACGGTCAAAACCAATCATAGTCCTAACAACTCTCTTAGTCTAGGTTCTCAGACTCTCAAAAACTTAAATTCAAATTATTAGTAGTTATTGATCTGCATACTTATAAACCACTTAGAATCATACTCTTATTTCAATGTAAGATTGGGGTATTGCACAATGCATACAATGTTTTAGGTATAATTACTTTCATACGGTATAATATATATATTTGATCTTGACTGTACAATAGAAGGTAATCATTTCCCATCCCTTATTCTGCCCCACCTGTATATCATACAATTCAAATTCAAGACTTCCAACTTCCGATAAAAGGAAATTACTATTGAGATACTTAGGTCATTAGTTATTATACGATATATTAAATAAGTGAATATAGTCAATTTATGTGTCAACAATGGGCTCCCTATTAAAAATAATTAATTACAAGATGATAAATTATATTGTACAAATTATTACACTTTATAAAATTTCACATATAATATTTTTCATAATTATACTTCTTTCATCCTAAAATAATAGACATATTTTGATTTCATTTCATATTAAGAATTTGATGACAATTTCTTTTTTTACCTATATTACCCTTAAAAGGGATATTGTAAAACAATGCTATAAGACTTAAATTATGATAAGATATATTATTAAACTTAAAAAATAATGATAAGGTTAAATTAACAAAAAAATAATAATAATCTTCAGTTTTTGGGATAAATTTTAAATAAAAAATATTTATTATTCTAATATAGAAGGAGTAATGTATGATATGGAAGACTATGTTGGCTACAATTTATCCTTATAACTAGATAGTACTTGTGCCCTCACACGGTGACATACAATGAAAAAGGTTATTTT